TTAAGTTAAAAATAGAGAAAATTAAATCAGAAATACAGGAAAAAACTTATGAAAAAATAAAAAAAAATATGCTCAAACTCAAAATTAAATATTATCACAAATCTAATAGAGCGGATAAAATAATGACCAATTTGCTGAAAAAAAATAATATGACCAATAAGGTTGATAAAATAATAACTAATGATAATATCTCCCTTTTACCAGAACAGATAGGGAATGCATTTAATGAGTACTATACTAATCTATATAGTCTTCCAGTAACTACTCCATCAGAAATAATAAAAAAATATATCAAGTCAGCCAAATTGAATAAAATAACAGAATCACAGATAAATAATCTAAATAAAGAGATTAGGGAAGAAGAGATCAAGATAACAATTGATAGATTACAAAACTATAAAACTCCAGGTCCAGATGGATTCGGAAATAGATTCTATAAAATTATGCAACCTCACTTGATACAACATTTAAAAAATACTTTTAATTCCGCAGTTAAAAAGGGCAGATTTCCTGAGGAAATGCTTAAAGCAAATATTTTACCTATACTGAAACCTGGGAAAGATCCGACTAGAGTACAGAGTTATCGCCCAATATCATTAATAAATGTGGATATCAAGATATTTTCTTCTATTATAGCTAGTAGAATAAAAGAAGTCATTAAGCAATTAATCCACCCTGATCAAATAGGTTTTGTACCAGACAGGATGTCAAGCAACAATATGAGACGTGTGATAAATGCATTAGATTTCTCACAAAAGGAAAAAAGTCCCATGCTGATCCTGTCTTTAGATGCTGAAAAAGCCTTTGACAGGGTCAGCTGGGATTTTATGAAGTTTACTTTAGAGGAATTAGGTATACAAGGTTGGTTGCTCGACGCTATTTTTGCTTTATATAAAGATCTAAAGGCGAGAACTATTGGCCCTGGTATATGTTCAGATTGGTTCAAACTTAATAACGGGACCAGACAAGGCTGTCCTTTATCCCCTTTATTGTTTATATTAACACTAGAGGTTCTAGCTAACAGAATCAGAAATAATGAAAACATTAAGGGTGTTACAGCAAAACAGAAAGAAATGAAAATATCCCTTTATGCCGATGATACTATTCTTTTTTTGAAATCATCAAGATCAATAACAAATGCAATGTCAGAAATTGATATATATAGTGCAGTATCAAATTATAAATTAAATAAAACAAAATCAACTGCCATATATATATGAATATGACAAAGCAAGAAATAGATTCTTATCAAGAAACATATGGTTTTATTAAAGCTAAAACGTTTTTGTATTTGGGAATCAAAATTTGTAGAAAGGTAGAAAGTATCATGAGAATAAATTTTATGGATCTCCTTAAAGAGACTAACAAGAATTTGAAAGAATGGAGAAAATTAGAAGTATCTTGGGGAGGAAGAATAAATATTTTGAAATCATATGTTCTACCAAAATGGATTTACTTGTTCAGAATGCTTCCGTTAGAAATTCCGAATGCATGGCTGACAATGATTAATAAGGCTTTTTCGGATTTTGTATGGCGAGGAAAAAAACCTAGAGTTAAAAATGGAGTTTTAGCAAGAGGAATAAAGAAGGGAGGTCTAGGATTTCCAAATATAAGAAAATATTATGAAGCAGGAATTATTACGCATGTTATGGCTAGTCAAGTGATACAAAACAAGGAGGAAGTATGGTGGTGGTTGGAACTAGATCATAGCCAACTAAGAAGTAAATTAGAAGTAGTTTGGAGTAAAAAAAAATGTAATCTGTCCAGATCGTATATTTTAGGACAGATTATTCCTATTTGGCAAAAAATAAGGAAAAAAATAGGTTTGGTAAATAAGATATTTGGCTTTCAAAATTTAGATATAATAGAATTAAATATGGAGAGTATATCCTTAAAATTATGGAAAGAAAAAGGAATAAATATTTTGGAGGATCTATTTGAAGGAAATAAAATTAAATCTTATAAAAAGTTAGTTGAGGAATTTAAGTTCTCTGACAAAGATATTTTTACTTATTATAGAGTAAAACATTACTTGGAGAAAGTTGAGTTAGTAAAAGAAGGTAAGATGTATGATATTTTAAAAACAATCTTACATCAGAATAAGACAAAGCAATTGTTTTCCAGATGTGTTAGATTGTTGGATTTAATGGATGATTCTGTTCTCCCCACTGCCATTAAAAAATGGAACACTGAATTAAAAATAAATATTGAATTATTTGAATGGCTATGTATGGCACAAAAAATTAACAAATATGTCCACTCCTTTGTATTGATAGAAACTCATTTTAAGCTGGTTAATCAATGGTATATGACGCCAACAAAAATAGCTAAATTTGATGTATCAAGGGACATTAAATGTTGGAAATGCAGGGAGGAAAAAGGAAATTATATTCATATGTGGTGGTCATGTAAACAAGTGATGGTTATATGGCAGTGGGCTCAAATTATCATTCATACACTGTGTTATGTCAAAATGCCTTTAAAACCTGAAGTAATGTTATTACATTATAAATGGCCAAAATTGAATAAAATAAATCAATTTTTAATTATTCATTGTCTAATGGCATGTAAAATAATAATAGCAAGAAACTGGAAGGGAGATATCCCCTTTAACATAAAATTAATAACAATTCAGTTGATTTACCAACTAAAAATGGAGAAAGATCATTGCAAACTTTTGAAGGATGATTTGAGCCTATGGGAAAAATGGGAGAAAAAATTATTACAACTGTAAAAGGAATGTCATTTGAAAAAGTTGGAAAAAGTTTGAAGTCTGTAGAACTCTCGTGGGGTGGTGGATAGTCTTTTTGTGGTTTTTTTATGTGGATGAATGTATTTTAATTACTCTTTTGTAAAATGTATTTATGGTGGAAAATCTGCTAATAAAAAGATAATAAAAAAAAAAAAAAATGACTTTAGTGGATTTCTCTGTAAGCTGTTTCTGTTCTCCAATATATTTTCCTACCATTTTATCATTGCATTTGTGTCTGTGGACAAAAAACAATGGTTTGTGTGGCAAAGACGCCTCTGCCACGTGTTCCTGGAGGAGTCTGCTGGCTAGCCTTTTGCCAAAAGACAATGGGGCATGTAAAAAGACATGTTAAAAGTTGAAAATCCGAACCACTAACCCGATCTGAGTGATTTTTGGATTGGTTACTCAGATCAGGTTAATGACACCCTAAAACCTGTACACGGGGGTACTGTCTTACTCTGGAGACTTTGCTGAACACAAATACTTGTGTTTCAAAACAGGAAAACATATCACAGCGATGATATTGTCAGTGACAGTGACATTTTCTGCATTTTTCACACATAAACGGCACTTTTACTGATGATATTGTTGTGATACGCTTTACTGTTCTGAAACACTAATATTTGTGTTCAGCGAAGTCCCCTGAGTATAACAGTACCCCACATCTACATGTTTTATAGTGCTTTTGAAAGTTACAGGGTCAAATATAAGGCTTGATTTTACTTTTTTTTAAATTGAAATTTGCCAGATTGGTTATGGTGCCTTTGAGAGCGTATGGTAGCCCAGGAAAGAGAAAAACCCCCATGATAGCATACCATTTGCAAAAGAAGACAACCCAACGTATTGCAAATGGTGTATGTTCAGCCATTTTTAGTAGCCACTTACTCACAAACACTGGCCAAAGTTTTTAACACACAAACAAATATAAATGCTAACTTTGGCCAGTGTTTGTGACTAAGTGGCTACTAAAAAATACTGGACATACCCATATTGAACACCCTGGGTTGTCTACTTTAAAAAAATGTACATGTGAGGTGTGATTTGGGGATTTATGACAGATAACAGTGTTATAATGTCACTATTGATAAATTTAAAAAAATATATTTTGAAAGTAAAATATATGACATGATACAAATAATGGTATGTAAAGAAAGCCCTTCTTGTTCTGAAAAAAAACAATATATAATTTGTATGGGAACCGTAAATGAGAGAGCAGAAAATTACAGCTAAACACAAACACCACAAACGTGTTAAAATAGCCCTGGTCCTTAACGTACAACACGCCAAAACAGTTTGGTCCTTAAGGGGTTAATATGTTCTCCAAATGTGATGTACACAATATTTGTTGATTATGGAGTTCATTTACCAAACTTATAGTCTACACAGATGTCAAAAGACTAAGTTGAATTAGGGACTCTCGAGATGGGGTTATCATCTCTCCTGTCAGAGTTGGAAATATAATCTGGAGATGAATGGGGTGGCAGTAAAATTCTGCCACTTTTCTGTAAAGAAAAGGTGGTGGAAAAATTCTTGAACCCGTTTTTGAGACAAAATGGCAAATATTAAAAAATTATGGCTAAGGCTCAAGAAAAAGCAACAGATTTAAAACCCTGACAGGTTTAATAAATTGCGACAATTATTCGTCAAAAAATTCGTATCACATGGATAAATCAGTAACTATTCAGCCAGTGAATTGTGTGCCCTGTCAATACCAGGACTGAACTGAATTGTGATATAACTGTTAAATTCTTAAACCACATTTAAAAGAAATCCAATTATCACATGAAAAGAGGTTAGCACAAGGTATGGGTGATTTTCAATGTTTTCTATTCAATGGTGTAAGTTCCAAAGAAGTGATGGTTCAACTTTAAGTTAAATATGTATGAAAAATAACATCCTCTGTCTGTTTCATAGATGTTGCAAGCAGATGAGAGGTCCGTTCATCGAGTGGTGTATGAAAGCCTCTGCTTGATTGAAAAGAAGAAAGAAACACATTTTGAATTATTTTTTGATTATATACGTCAAGAATGTTTCCTAAAATTATTTCCTGAGTTACAGAACATCTTACAAGGTGAGCATTTTGTTTTTATTTAAATCAAGGAGCTGCAAAGTATTTTTTTCCCTTACTACATTATTATTATTATTATTATTATTATTATTTTATTATTTATATAGCGCCAACAAATTCCGTAGCGCTGTACAATGGGTAGACTAACAGACACATAATTGAGATCAGACCACTGACGTACAGGAACAGAGGGGGTTGAGGGCCCTGCTCGATGAGCTTACATGCTAGAGGGAGTGGGGTATAGTGACACAAAGGGTTAAAGTAGGGGAATTAAATAGTCTGTTACAGAAGGGTTTATTGAGTGCTTGGTAGGTAATTTTTGACAGGTGCAGGAACGGAGTCATGGGGTGGGGAATGAGAAACCTGCTAACAGTTTAATTGATACGCTTTAATGAAGAAGTGAGTTTTCAAAGATTTTTTGAAGGAGTGGAGGCTGGGTGAAAGTCTGATTGAGGAGGGAAGGGAGTTACACAGAATAGGTGCAGCCCTGGAGAAGTCTTGAAGGCGAGCATCAGAGGTGGGGTTCCGGGCAGAGGATAGGCGTAGGTCTTGGGCTGAGCGCAGGGGTCTCGAAGGGACATACTTGTGTATGAGGGAGGATAGGTATGTTGGAGCAGCATTATGTAGGGATTTGTAAGCAAGCGCCAGAATTTTGAATTGGGCCCTATATCTAACTGGAAGCCAATGCAGGGACTGACAGAGCGTGGAGGCGTGGGAGGTGCGACCGGACAGGAAAATAAGCCTCGCAGCCGCATTCATTATAGATTGCAGCGGTGCAAACTGGGATCATGTAAGACCGGTGAGAAGGGGATGGCAATAGTCAAGGCGAGAGAGAACAACAGCATGAACCAGTACCTTAGCCGTGTCCTGCGTTAGATATGGGCGGATGCGAGCTATGTTCTTGAGTTGGAAGCGACAGGATTTGGATCAGAATCAAAAAGAACCCATAGGCAGCGAGCCTGGGAGGTAGAGGTGATAGTAGCGCCGTTGACTTGGATGGAGACAGACACAGGAGTAGCAGCACTTGAGGGAGGAAAAACTAGAAGTTCTGTTTTGGACAGGTTGAGTTTAAGGAAGTGAGCAGCCATCCAGTTGGAAATAGCAGAGAGGCAGTCAGAAACACGAGTCATGGTGGGCGGAGAAAGATCAGGGGAGGACAGGTAGATTTGGGTGTCATCTGCATATAATACATGGTTTAGTATTATGTTTGTATGTAATGCCAACCTTGTAAATCGAGGGTGATAACAGAGGCGTACCTAAGTTACATGGCACATGATGTGGAAATGTATTATGACCCCCCCCCCCTCCACCCCATCCCAGGAAAGTGTAGAAGTTTTGCTTTGTGTGCCCTTTCCAATCCCCCCTTTTAACGAAAATTACATGCATAAACTCACAATCATATAGACATAGACATTCATATTCACACAATCCGACATTTATATTCACATGGAGACAAACACAGACACAAATTCATATAAATACACTAAGACTCATACGCCAACACAGATACATACAAACAGACTTATACACAAACACACATTCATACATGCACACACACACACACACAGTTGTGTGTTTTGGATCTGTGCTGCCCTAGGCATGACGGAACTCGGGTACCCCCTAATTTAAATTTACCCTGCCCCTTACTGCCAAGATCACACCTCTTCCTGATAAAGGATACACACACATTGACTGACAGACACATGGACACACCTACTCATTGACAGTCACACACTCTCAGATACACTGACAAAAACACACACTCACTGATTTTACTCAGTCTGACAGACACACACAATCACTCACTCACAGACACACACACTGACAGATACACTCACTGACATACACACATAATCACTCAGACACCCACCCACATTTACTGACAGACACACGCTCACTCACTCACTCACAGACATACACACATCATTCAATGACAGACACTCACACGCAGTCACTCACATACACACATAATCCCTCAGACACACACACATTCATTGACAGACACATGCTCACTCACAGACACACACTGATATACACATATACTCACTCACAAACAGACACACACTTACAGACATACACACATTCACTGACAGACACACACACTCACTCATTCACAGACACACACACACTGGGTATATTTATGAGATGATAATATTATACAGTTGAGAATTGCCCACTATTTCAATTCTCTTAGATCTTAGAGATCGTCATCATGTAAGTGAAATGTATTTTATACAAATAAAATCACAATTTGTTATAAAAATAGATATAATTTATTGTGACAAATAAAATAATAATAATATTATGCAGCATGCATAATAATAATCAGTGAATATTTAGTATAACATAAGTATGTAATACAATGGCAATATTAAAACAATCCAATGGCTAACAGCATCAACTGTCAAAGCCTACAAGATTTATGAGGGTACTTCACAGACACAGAAAGCTAGACTTCCAGCGAAAAGCCATAAAACCTTGGCTAACAGTTAGATCAACTGAATAACCCTTTCAATGCTGGCTAGATGCTTCTAGGCATATAATATCCTATTCTCATGTAATTTTCAATTAAAATAACATTCAAACCAGCTCATTAATCATTTCCTGGAACCATCAAATAAGAATAATCTACCAGATTTTTACAAAAGCCGAATTTAACTCAACCTAAGATATACGATCTTATTTCAGAGCAAATCGATACACATGGATAAAAACAGCGGTATGCTAACACGTGGTAAGATACCAGTACTATGTAATTATCTGACTCCACCTGCAGAATGGAGTGTTATAACCACATATTCTTTAGTTAACTAAGATTTCTCAATTATTGAAATCTGACTGTGATTTATCCAGTCATATATCATGCTATTAGTACATTTTTTATTAATTTAAATTAATTAAATAAAACCAGCATAATTACCAGTTATGTAGATGTTCTCATCAGATGAGTAGGTAGTTCCAGGAACTTGAATACAAGTATGATTGGTTGTATGGAGGTGTGTAAGTAATAGAGTAAAGTGATGTTGGTTAGAAAGTAATAGTAAAATTCTAAGTGTCAAGGAGTGTTTCTTGAGTTGTGTTCAATAGAGTTGAGTATTAGTCCCAGAGTGTCCTGAATATCTGTCCTGGATCTCTCTGAATGTCCGGATCTGAAAGCTCAAACTAACCTCTCTCTTCCCTTTGTTCCTAACTTTTAAAGGGCCAGACTCTCTGTACGTCATTAGTTAATAAGGCCAATAGGAAACTGTAGGTGTGGTCAACCTGCAGATCGCAATTTATATTTGATCCATAGAGGGCAGTCTCGCCTCACTAAACCTTCCTATCTAGGAAAGAGTTCACTTTTCCTGATGACGATTTTGACGTCATTTGGCTTATCTAAAATGACTACCATAACTTAAATTTGCTGTCAGTTCAAAGCGTTTGCCTCAGTCTTTGTGGCAACGACTTTGATCGTAATTTCTAAAATGTACAGTTCTAAACTCAATTTCACCCCTTACTTACAATGGGACCTTGTAAAATTTAGAGAGTAAAATTAATTACTTAGTCTTCTCTGTCACTAGTGTGTGTGTGTTTAAAATTATTTCTATTCCATTAACATTTAAACAGAGCATTCATTCCCCCTGCTTCATTGCTTATCACTTGGCTTGTTTACATAATGCATTCCTTAGCTCAGCCTAGTGGCTAGTTACAGAAAGGAAAGAAATTTTGTGTCTGTCTTGCCTGAAATCCAAAATGGAGTCCGCTTTGTTCTGAGTGACTCTGGCAATATACACTTTTAATTTCTATCTTAGCACAAAATGCCGATTATAAATATCCTGACAACATACACACTGTCACAGTCTGACAAGACACACACACTCCCTCACCCACAGACACACTGACATCTACATACACATTCACTGACAGACACACACACACACACACACACACACACTTAATGACACACTGTCACAGACTGACAGACACACACTCACACTGACAGGAAACACACACACACACTGACAGACACCCACACTCACAGCTATACACACACACAAGATAAGGAGCAGCATATATGTATAGAAATAGGCAGTGTTATGCCTTCAGACAATTGCTACCTTTGATTACCATTATACTTACCTAAGCTGTGTCTAAAGTTACTTACCTTCTCCCTCCTATCTCTCCAGATCTTCCAATATTATCTTGCTTTGTATACTTATCTTACTATTATTACCCTACTTTTCTACTCCAATAACCCCTAGTTATTTTACAGCCAATTGACAATGTAGGTGATCTCTCCCTATTATAATAACTTATTTTTTTTCAATTAATCTCCCCTCTCCCTTTTCAATGATTGTTCTAGATTATTTGAACATTGTAATTATATAATGATTCTGAAGGGATGTTTATTATACTAATAGGGAATATATAGAGACACAATATATCTTCTGTTGGCTTGATTTTTAGGATCACTATATCTAATTAGCATTTATGTATTTTTTTGGCAATGGATAAATAAAGCCTGTGATATCATTGAATAGACGGTAAAATGGTTATCTTTTGCTATATTGCAGCAATCTTCTTCACACATTGTTTACTGTTGAAGACATTTAATTCAATCAATTACTTTTTAAAATTTACTTTTATGAAATTCCAAACCAGGGACACTCACATGAGGTTTCCCTGATTTTTATCCTTACTATAAGCATTAAGCCCTGGGAGGAATTGGTACCACCCCCACTGATCAACCTCCGTCCAGGATATTCTCTGTATAGAGGTGACTTAGTCTATTAATTTTGTTTTATACACACACATTCATTGACAGACACACACACACTGACAGACATAACACACACACATTCGCTGACAAACATACACACACATGTACACACACATGTACACACACACATTTACTGACAGACACACACACATTTTCCCCCAACACTCACAGATTACTGTTATTTTTTAAAAATTTTATATTTTAATTTAAATCAACTCAGCCTCCCTATCTTTGGGAGAGCTGGGTGGATATTTTTCACCTGTGGTCCAGTGGGGCAACTGGGCTGTTGGGCAGGCATGCAGGCGGCCGTAGTGCAGGCAGGAGTTTCGGCGCACAGGCAGGAAGCATGGGTTCTGAGCTCTTCCTGTTTAGCTCCATCGCGTGCTCTAGAGTACTGCCAGGAACCGAAGTGACGCCATATTCAGGCTCCCGGCTTTACTCAGGAAGAGCTCAGAACCCTCGCTGACTGCCTGCATGCCCAATCGCCTGGGACAGAACTGGCCGCCCGTACCGGGGGCCCAAAGGTGGCCAGCCAGCCAGCTCTTGGGCCCCTTTAAAATGAGGCTAACAAAGTATTTGCCTGGGCATTTGAGGGCAGCTTTTTTTTGCCGCCCCTGGAAAGTGCCGCCCAAGGCAAATGCCTTGTTGGCCATGCAGTAAATACAGTGCTGTGCACACACACACACAAACACTCATATACAAACACACACATCAATTTAA